ACGATTCCCTACCCGTTGCGCTCTGCTACCACGTTTCAGAACGACTCCATACATAAATGTAAAGACGCTTCCACGTTTCCTCGCGATAGCATGTGAAACGACCATGCGGGGATAAAACCCTCCATAACTCCGTTCAGAGAATCGTTCTGCAAATTTTGAAGACAGTTCTGAGTTCACCGTCCCAAGACGCGTACAACGGTGTGCAGCTCATTGGAAATGGCCGGGCTGACCTGATGACCTTTCCTGGTGAGTTTTCAAATGGGAGTCAATGACCTCGGCTAGATCCCTAAATGACGAGACCCCAAACATCTTACAAGGGAAGGATGGTAGGTCGAAGTGGCCATTTGAAATGAAATGTATACCGGCTGAAAGGTCTTCGGACGGGAATTACGAAACCGTCTTCCATATCTGCTGCGGACCTCCCAGGAAGTTACGGAGCTTTTTAGGGGAGAATACAGGCATTCAGTACGAATTGGCGGCGTAAGGCCGATGCGATCGTAGCAGCGTGGCCGAGTGGTTACGTATAGCTCACGAATGCATGGCTGAGGGCTTGGATCCTTGATGCGTGTGCTCTTTCGCATTATTTCAAAAGTTGTCTCTGTGCACAGCAATTTTGCATAGCTCTTGTTCTTCATGATGTCGTGACGTAATGTTTCTGAAGTGGAGCCTCGGTGGACGAAAACCTTTTTGGCTGTTGACTTCTTCAGTGATTCGAAGATAATATTCTTCACAACAAAAATGCATTCAAGGGATGAGTTTGCCCTGAAAAATGACTTTATTCTCCAAACGATGTGACTGGAAATTGAATACGAAACCGCAAGAAGTTGTGCGCGAAGGTGAGTATAGTTGGAAAATGCTTTCACTTGAACGTTGATGTGGCGTCATGCTGGAGATCGTGAGGGGCGAAACATGCATCCATCGCTCACATAGTGTTGAAGGATACAAGAATGTTATACATGGAATCGTCCACAACGGCTTCATTAATTCATAATTAATTCATTAATTCATTCTTTGTGAACTTCAAAGCGATTTTGCGTAACACTTGTGCTCATATTGTTGTCAAGGTCTCAGTCCCTGACAACAATATCATGGACAAGTGTTATGCAAAATAGCTTTGAAGTTCACAGGGACCACTTTCGAAAAAATGCAAAAGAGCACACGCATCAAGGATCCAAACCCTCGACCACGCACTCGTTAGCTACGACATAACCACTCGGCCACGCTGTTACGATCGCATCAACCTTACGCCGCCAATTGCGCCAATTCACACTGAATGTCGTATCCTCCTCCCAAAAAGCTCCGTAACTTTTTCCTGGGAGGTCCGCAGCAGATATGGAAGACGGTTTCGTAATCCCCGTCCAAAGACCTTTCAGCCGGTATACATTTCATTTCAAATGGCCACTTCGAGCCTGTAGTCCACAAGGCCTTTTTCTGATCGGCTGTTTCATTCAGTGTCACCGTTCGTCAATTATCTCCAGGCCAGTTCATGCAGTTCGCAACGTTTCATGGGCTGCCAAACGAGGAGAGTGCATGGGACTGCTCGGTGAGCTCAATATATGCTATGCATCCCGCAAAATCTGAAAATAACACAAGCCCACCACTCGCCTTGCCAAAACACTTCACTAGCCTTAGTTAATCTTCTAGGTGTGAATGGAGCGGGCAAGACCAGCACATTTCGCGTTTTAAGTGGTCAGCAAGATGTTGATCGTGGCGTCGTCTTCTTGGGGCAGAATGTGCTGAGTCCTGGGTAGGTAAACGTTCGCCCTAGGCTGCGCTTGTTTTCTTATAGTCTACCTTAAGAGCTGAAGCATTCTCACGAGTTGGCTTCTGCCCCCAGTATGATGCTTTGTACCTGGACTTCACACCAAGGGAACACTTAGAAATTTTGGCTGGCTTCCACGGTTACACCAGTTCGTCTACGCGTTCTGTGAGTTTTGACTTTCTATTGTCTCTGTAAGACGCTTGTTCAAGGCTGATTTCAGGTAGCCAACTACTTGATGGAAGCTCTTGATCTGTCGCTCTATGCGGATATTAGAGTGTCTGCTCTCAGCGGAGGGACTAAGGTAATGGTTTATCGAAAAAAAGGCAAAACTGCATTGTTTTTCTTTTAAGCGGAAACTATCCGTAGCCCAGGCCCTCGTGGGCGATCCTACACTCATCTTGCTTGATGAACCGACAACCGGAATGGATCCGAAGAGCCGTATGTTCCTTTGGGAGGTCCGTGCATTTTTAATCCTTTGTTCGTTTGAAGAATCATGATGTTAGCAACATCTGACTAGGGTAGGTCGCTAAGTTGAAGTGGCCATTTGTAATGAGATGTAGCTTACGGAACTTGGTTTTGGACGCTGATCTCAAACCTGCTTTCGAAATTTGCAGAACGATTCTC